AGCAGCAGTCCAAAATAATCAAAGGAAGGTTTCATCATGGTTCAGAATGTACCAAGGAAGCCCTCAGAAAACATTTTTTAATCCAGTCTTATGAGGCTGGACTGTGGCTGGTCTGGACTTACTGAAGACCCTGCAACCTTTGCCTCCTTGCTCTGTGGAGACCTGGCTTGCTGAGGTGGGGTAGGAACATGGACAGGGAGAGCTGTGAGCCATGGCTCATGTTCCCAAGGCTTTGGGGTCTCCAGCATGGGTGTGTCTGAGTGAGCTGAGAGTTCTGGGGGTCCCTCTGTGGTGATGGAGCTCTGAAGGGAGTGTCCATGACAGTCTCAGATGAGTACCTCCTGAATCTCTGGTGCTGTCCCTTGACCTCTGATGACTGGCAAGGGAGTCAGGGATGAACCAAAGCTGTGGACATCCACCTTGAGGTGGATGGGGTTTCACTGATTTTTTTGTTGGCAGGACTGAAAGCACTGCAATACCGCCTGTGATGGGCCTTGCAGGTACCAACATCCTCTGCTGAGAATGGTTTAAGGCTCAAGGTCCCAACTGTGGACCATGGCACCAGTTGGGAAGAGATCAGAGAATCATAGAATGGTTTGAGTTGGAAGGGATCTTAGAGATTATCCAGTTCTACCCCTGCCTCCATCAGGGGCAGGGACAGCTTCCACCACACCAGGCTGCTCCAAGCCCCATCCAACCTGGCCTTGAACACTTCCAGGGATGGGGCAGCCACAGCTTCTCTGGGCTGACTCCTGTGAGTGGCCAACTTAGCATTCCCAGAACACCCAATTTAATGAAATTTCATGGTACTCCTCTTAGGGAGGGCAGGGACTTGTGCATGGAGTGGCAGCAGCCTGACACAGAGAGCTGGGATCTGGCCTGCAAGGGGGTGCACGTTTCTGGGTGACGGAAAGCAGGGAGGAATGCAGCAGGTAGGAGCCAGCATGTACAGGCAGGAGCACGGGTGGGTGTTTCTCCAGCACACACGTTGTGTTCAGCAGTCCCCCTGGCCCTCCTGCTTGAGAAGAGAGGCAGCAATTAGGCTGCTTGAAGGCCCAGTTGCTTCTTGCACAAGGAGGAGGCAGTGCCCCTTGCAGCTGCGGTTCAAAGCCTGCAGGAGATAAGGATCTGCCGTGCCAAGCACTTGGGAAGTGCTGGGGGAATCCAAGGACAGCTCTGGCCACGCCACCCTGCTTCACCTCTATCTCCTTCCCAGCTGGCATCTGGTTTAAAATCCTTCCTTAACCTAGAGCAACACAAAGGGAGTTTCCTCCCCATTCTTCCATGCAACCCCCATGTAATTACTTGGGAGCTCACACAACTTTGTGTCAGCTTTCCCTGCTTACCAGCCTGTTTGTGCAAGCTCCAACTCCTCAGCCTCCATGGAGATTGGTCTTTGCCTTCCTTGGTCATGGGTAGCAGAGTTAAAAACCCAACTGATTTCATGAGATCAGGTGAGGTGTGTGTAGTGTGTCCTCTGGGTGTACTCCAGAGTGTCCAGTCAAGGTTAGGATCTACTGGATAAAAAATCATGGAATGGTTTGGGTTGGAAGGGATCTTCAAGATCATAGAGTTCCAACTGCCCCACCACGGCCAGGGAAACTTTTCCCTAGATCAGGTTATTCCAAACCCCATCTAAGCTGGCCTTAAATACTTCCAGGGATGGGGCAGCCACAGCTTCTCTGGGCAACCTGTGCCAGGACCTCACCACCCTCACAGGCAAGAATTTCATCTTCTAAACCCATCCTCTGTCAGTCTGAAGCCATTCCCTGTTGTCCTGTCACCCTAAGCCCTTGCAAATTCTCTCTCCAGTTCTCTTGTAGCACTGAAGGTGCTCTAAGGCCTTCCTGAAGCCCTCTCTTCTCCAGCCAGAACAAACTCCCCCATACACTTCCACCCTTGGCCAGAGTTCAGCTCTGCCTTTGCCTCCCACATCCTGATAATTCCCATTAGCAGCACCAGGCACACAGGGATGTACAAAACAGTGAACGCTTTTTTATTTTGCTGCTGGAGTGTAACCACTGTAATTTCATAAAACTCAAAAAACCAAAAAAAAAAAGTGATTACCGAAGGCATACATTTTTTTTTCCTTTTTACACAAGACATTAAGTAAACAGACAAGTTTCTTTTTAAAAAGGTTATAAAGTGTCAAGATCCTATACCTCATCTGCATATTCAAAGTGATGCCATCTGATACAAAAAGCATTGGGTACAATAATTTAGCTATGGCTCAGACCAAAAAAAAAAAAAAAAAAATCCCAAAAAAAAACCCCCAAAAAACTCAACCAAAAAAAAAGTCATCTGGGCTTAATCTACACACTGCTATGGTTGCTCAGGGGGTTAAAAAGGAAAATATGCAGTTCTTTGTTGCACAGAAAGGAACAGCAGGGAAGTGGAGAGTTCATTGGGAGATCATAGTCTGAAGGGAAGCAGAGGAACGCCCCCTCCCCGGGAATGTCTGCAAGAGGCCGGCCCAGGACTCCCCTCTGTGCCAAGAACCAGCCACATTTGTCTCCCACCAGACAGAATCCCATCCAAAGCCACCCGCCAAGCTGCACCTACCCAGCGTGCTGGCAGCAAAATAGATCCAAGACCTTGGAAACTGCATGGAAGTCACGAATCTCCCTGTGAGCTTTCCCACTGGGACTAATAAAAACCAAACAAACCCAATGAAAAAAAATAAAAAAGGAAACGACTCGTTCTGTTGTGGGTAGAGCCAGACTCTGCTTTCTCGGGAAATCTGTTCCACATAAACCTCTGAAGCTCCCAGCCCAAGCACCACAGTGTCAGCCTTACTGCAAGACTCATAATATCAATTTACAAATGTGAAGTCTTTACACGTGTGTCACCAGAACTTTCTGAAATTAAGAGCTGGACATTCGTGATGGCCACATTTCCTGCCTTCCCACCATCCCACCCCCTCCACGTGCTCCATCTGACTGGAAAACAAACAACAGAAGGGATATTTGAGGCCATATGTGTGCTGTGTGCCACTGGTGAGAGGACACAGCTACAATTCCTGCTCAGATTTATTCCCTCACACGAGGCTCAGACATGACTGACTCCTGGGTAAAGGCTGCAGGCTCTTGGTTTGATGTTGGGCCACCTCTGCTTTGCCATCCCTTGGGTCTCTAAAGTTCTTGCACCAATTTGGAGCCTTGTCCCTGCAAATTGTGGGAATTCCACGGAAGGTGAGGAGGTGGATAAGGGGGGGATAGGGGTGAGAAATGATTAAAACCCAGTTTGAGCCTTTGCTTCTGGAGAAAAGGGCAGGATGAGGTGGCTGGTTTGTAGCCAAAGCCATGGGGGTGTCTGCTCCCTGTGACATCTGCCAGGACTCGATGGAAACAACCGGAGCAGTGACAGTGTTGGCAAATACATCAGGTTTTCAGGGCTCTCCTTCCAGCATCTTGGCATTTGAGGTGAAATGAGGATTAGTGCACAAGGAGAGAACCCAAGAGCAGCCCAAACCATGAGCCCTTGTCTGGTGTTGTCTACTGAGTTTCAACCTTCCCCCTTGCCAAACTGTCTCAAGACTTTTGAGCTCTTTGGGATTTCTAACCCAAATCCCCCTTGGAAGACCTCTCAATTTCCCCAGTCTGTTGCTTCTGTAACCTTCTCTAGGCTGAAACATCGAGGAGCTGGTACCTCAGAGGAAGGAGCCCAAGTCCGTATTAAAAAAAAAAAATCCTAAATATTTGGCAGTCCAGCCCAGAGAAACTTTTGAATTCAGCCCTTCATGCAAAACAGCAGCTCTTGGGCTGCCAAGGTATCCTTTCCATGGAAGCAGCCCATTTTAGGGTTAAGGGGGAGATATCCATGAAAACAAAAAAAAAGGAAAAATATCTAGGACAATTAAATCAGCATGATTTGTTGGTTTTTGTCGTTTTTTTTAGTGAATCATAAACTGAGGAGGATCAAGATGCCACCCTGCCAGCCAGATGCCCTCAGGATTTGGCCACATGGCCAGATCAAGGACTGCTTTCATACCAGAAGCTCCCTAATTTTAAGGTGATTGGGTTGATGCTACATAAAGCAAAGCCTGTCCCCCTCATGTTCCACCCAGGCTGAGACCTAAGTGAAGTCTTGCTCAAGAGTGCCCAAAGGAGGCTGAATTCAAATCCCTCTGTCCCCAGCCTGAGTCCAGCTCAAAGGCATCGTGGCTGAATCCCAGGACCTCCTGCCCTGGGCAATGCTCCAGGTGATGCTGCCATGAGCATGGGTGAGGAAAACTCCTCTTGCCAGGACAGAAAGGTCTGCAGGCCCATAAAGCAACAGTTCCCACAAGGAAGGGCATGGGATAGGGAGGTTTCCTGGCTAGCAGGGACTGGGGCTGTCACCACCACAATGCCAAACCACCTCCTATGTCCCTGGGGAAGGAGCAGCGCCTATTTTAGCAGCAGGAGGACAGACCTAAGCAGGAAGGGGATGGTGACCCACCCAGCAGGGTGCTCTAATGCAGGGTCAGGCCTTTTTATCAGCCCAATCCACACTATTCCCAATCAACACTGACCCTTTAGCCTTCTCCATGAGTCATGGGAACCAACAGCCTGGGATAGAGCAGGAGAAACTCAAGGGATTAAGGGCTGACCCACAATGTTGGACAGGCCCAAGGTGTGGGGTGTGACAACTCCAGGGCCACATGTGGAGGGTCCCCAGCTCACTCAGCACCACAGCTTATCCCAAAGGATGGCCTTCCCTGCCCTGCAGTGGGATTGGCCTCTATCAGGACTGGTGAAGTGGTGCTGGAAACAGCTCCAAACACCTCAGCTGCTCAGCCATGTGGTGGTACAAAGCAGGCCCCAGCCTCCTGCAGGTACTGAAGGTGTCTAACCAGCCTTCCTCACCACCTGTCCCAAGAGATGAATGCCCTGAAGCCAATGTCTCTGAATATCTACATTTTGGGAGGCACACAAACCTTTGGAGAGACCCAACTCAGGGTCAACAGGACACTGAGGGCATCTCAAGCTGCTCAGCCTAAAACCCCAAGAGGTGGAAGAAAGATCAGCCCTCCTTGTCCCAACAACTGTGATCCTCTGCAGCTGAGGTGTGAGCAGCAGTGGGCCCCAAGGACACCTGGAGCATCCCCTGGGCCACATGTGTGTCCTGGTGGTAGTGGATGGCAGCCAGCTGTGACACAGTGCTGGGGATCAGTCTGGGGGACCATGGGTCACCTCCTGGGCTCTACTGGGCAGTGACAGGAGAAAGAATGGCCAGAGGATGTGTGGAAGACAAACAGGGTATTTTTTTAAGTTTTTTTTTTTCCTTTAATTAGCAAATTTCTTGTTATCCTCATTTAAAGAAAAAAACCCACCCCCACACCCCCTACGTGCCCACTGCTCCAGCTGCTGCAAGCGTTCAAAGGCAGAAAGTTGAGAGATGTTTCATGTCCCAGCTCAGGGGCAGCTCTGAGCCCCCCCAGCTGGGTGTGTGCCAGGTGCCTTGGTACAGATATGGAAAAGGCAGGTGCAAAATTAGGTGATGTGCTCTTGCCAGGAACACCCCAAATGCCCTAGGAGAGCTGCAGCCCAGCCCCTTGGCCAGCAAATGCAGTGGTGGTGGAGGACATGGATGTGCCTTGAGAGGCACACTGTGCCCCAGGGCACTGCAGCCAGAATTGGGGTTTGTGCCACAGCTCAGGGGTGGGGACAGGGCAGCAGAGAACCCACCACCCTGGGCACTGAATTTGGAAGCTGTAAATAAGAGCACCCCACACTTTGGGGGACCCAGTGCTGATCCAGCACCCCAGCAAAGCTGAGTGCCTCCAAGCCCTGCTGTGGTCCCTGAGGTTCCCAGCAGTTCTGCCTTCACTGGAGCAAGTTCCCAGCAAGCCCCATCTGCAGCATCCTGGCTGGCATTGAGGCAACAGGGAGGTGGTGAGCTGACAGAGGGGCCAGGAGAAAGGGAATGGTGCTGGGGGTCTTAGCTCAGCCCTTCCCCTGCTCACAAGGGTCACTGAGCTGAGAGCCCCTGTCACCTCTCCCTGCTATCACCACCTTTCCCCCTGAGGCCACTGTGCCATCCCCACCTCCATCCCTGCTGCTGCAGCCCTTATTTATGGGGAAGAGGTGGGGAAAGGCTTTTCTGGGGATGCTCTGGCCCTTCTGCACCCCATCCCTTCTCAGCTGGCAGAGCCCTGTCTGCATCACCCCAAACCAAGCACCCTTTGCCCACCCCTCTCAGTGCAATGGGAGGGGAAAGGGGGGAGGAGGATGGTGATGAAGAACAGTCACACGAGCTCATTGCCTGCTAACACCAAGAGTCTAAGGGCAGTGCTGCCTTCCCTCCTTGGGGCTGCAGCTGGAGAGAGCAGCCTTTTTTGGGGATCCAGCAAGACGAGTGTGCTGTGAGTGCTGGAACACACTGGAGATGCTCCATGTCCCCAGCCCAGCCCTGGCAGAGGGACAGCACGTGGGGAGTGCAGGGCTGGGCCAGGAGGTGAGGGGTGGGATGTGTGCGAGTGCCTGGGGGTCTGTGCACGGATTTTGGCAAGAGGTCATTGAGGTTACATGATGCAGCATTTGTTCTTGTGGTTATGAGGGTCCTTAAATCGGAGTCTCTGCTTTGGTCGGTATTTTTCCAAGTACGTCAGCTGCTTGCTGTTGATGGCTCCTCTGCGCTTCCTGCAGGGACAGAGAAATGCCAGAAGAGTCAGAGGTGTGGCATGAGATCCCTCCCACCCCAAACCACTCTTGTTGGGGGGCTGAGCTCCCCTGCCTGGAGCAGGAAGGGATTTTGGAGGCTGAAGCCAGGTGCACCCTCTAGGGATGGAGACAGGCACTGAGCCCAGCAGCTTTCCTTGCTCATCCACCCTTTGAGTCCCAGGACATGGAGAGCTGGGGAGTAAACATGTGGGGCAGAGGTGGGGTGACTGCCAAAAGCCCTTCAGGGATGCTCCATGCCAATGCATTGTTTTCCCACTCCCAAAGGAGAGAAAAGCAACCCCAGTGTCACCAAAAAAACCAAACCCTGGGACATGCCAGATGTCTCCATTCCCTCAGAGAGGGACTTTCTGCCCTAACACCCCAACACTGCTCCACTTACTGTCGGATGAACTGGATGGCATCTTCATACTTCATCCCACTCTCGATCAAGGCCAGCGCGACAAGGACGGGAGCACTGAAAGGCAGAAGCAGTGGCTGTCACTCCCCAGTCACACAGCCCAGAGGCTGATATCCATCATTTAAAATTTGAGGAGAAGGTCAGGTAGAAAATCCCCTGCCATCAACACCTATTCCCACTAAGGTTTCACAAAACCATGCTCGAAGAGGGACTGGGAAAAGGAAGGAGGAGTACTGGCATGGTTGTCCCTCTCCTCCTTCCTGGGGAGGTGGCAGCTGGGACAAAACCCTGCTCAGAGCAGGGCTAGGGAAGGGGAAGAGGAGAGCTGGCATGGTTTTCCCTCTGCTGCATTCATGAGGGCTGGCAGCTGAGGTGCTGGGCTCGGACTCACCGCCCCAGGCCGGCCACGCAGTGCACGGCCACGCAGCACCCGGGGTCCTCGCAGAACTTGGTCTTCAACAAGTTGAGCCAATCTTCCACAATCTTGCTGGGAGGAGGTGCTCCATCATCAAATGGCCAATCCTGCAAGGTTGGGAAGAGAGAAATGTTGTCAAGTCTCTGGGGAAAACCTTTCAGGGGCTGTTTTTCACTCGGGGTGATGGTGTTTGGGGCCTCAGCTGCAGGGAGGTAGAAGAGTGCCAGAACTGGGCTCACAGCATAGCTCTGTGGGGATACAGTGGTTTTGTGGCATCATCTGGCATACAGGAATTCCCTGGCTGCTTTGGCTCAGGGTTTGAAGCCACACAAATCTAGGTCTGGAGTCCTCTGGCCTCCTATGGACACGTTCAGCCTACAGGAGCACCTGTAGGATCTGCAGCATGGTCCCCATGACCTCCTGCTTCTGCAGACCAGGATGGCCACCTCATGCTCCATCCCCATCCAGATGAGCTCACTGAGCTTTGGGGTGATGCAGTTCCCATCCTCTTTCCTGCCAGCTCCTAATTCCAGAATTTGGGAGCACACTGCAGGGGATTTGAGCAAAGGTGGATTGAAGAAGGTTGAAATCTCAGAGCTTGATGAGGTGCTGAAATTCAGCTTCCTGCAACACATGGAGGGGAACACCAAAAGAATGGTCTGGGGACCCACTAACACAGCCCTAGAGAGAGAGTCAAAGGAAGGGAGATCACTCCAAATGGGGCCATTCAAATACCATCCTTCAGGAAAGGCTATTTAGGGATGAAAACAAAAAAATCCCATCTCCTTCTGAGCCTCATCCTCAAATTGCAGGGGTTCAAAATTGGAGCATGGTGAGGAAGTTGGTCAAATGGATTCTGCATTTGATATTCCTCAGCCCTGGGCTCAGTTACAAGGGTTAAGTGTCCCAAAATGGGGATTTCTTTCCCAAAACAGATTTGTCAGGAGGAGCATGGCCACTGGCTACGCAGCACTGGCAGAGAGAGACAGGAAGGGAAGCATCCCTTGAGAGGATGTGGCTTGGTGAGCCCTGAAGGGTGGGGGGTACTGGGCCCTAATCCTAGATTTTGAGGAGTGAGTCACTAAGCTGCTGTGCTGGAGTCACCCTTGGTGTGAGATGGCAAAATAAGCTGCTTCACTTCAGTGTTTGAACAGGTGGTGAGATTTCTGTTGGGATTTGATAGCAAAGGAGCACTCTGGGCTTCAGGGTATTGGCAGTGTTTGAGCCAGCCCCCCTGGCTGGCCTGTGCCTGTCCTGCAAGGCCATCTCCTCCTGCAGGGCCATGTCCTCCCTGTAGCCATGAGTGCAGGTCAGGGGCTCACACCAGGGATGACACAGCACCCTAAAGAATCATCCCCTGATGGAATGGTTTGGGATGGAAAGCACCTTCAAATATCATCTAGTCCAACCCTCTGCCATGGCAGGGACACCTTCCACTACCCCAGCTTGCTGCAACCTGGCCATGAACACTTCCAGAGATGGGGCAGCCTCAACTTCTCTGGGCAACCTGTGCCAGTGTCTCACCACTCTCATGATAAAAACCTTTTTCCTTATGTGTCCTCTAAATCTGCTCTCTGTCAGTTGAAAGACACTGCCCCTTGGTCTATCACTACATGCCTGTGTAAATAGTCCAGCTCCCCTGCAGCCCCTTTAGGGACTGGAAGGGGCTTTAAGGTCTCCCCAGAGCCTTCACTTCTCCATATACAGACCTATATATGGTCTATATATAGAAGCATAGAATTGTTTAGGTTGGAAAAGCCCTCTAAGATTGTCAAGTCCAACTGTTACCCCAGCACTGGCAAGGCCACCACTAAACCGTGTCTCCAAGTGCCACATCTACAGCTCTTCTAAACCCCTCCAGGGATGGTGACTCCACCACTTCCCTGGGCAGGCTGTTTCAATGTTTGACAACCTTTTCAGTGAAGAAATTTTTTCTAATATCTAATCTAAACCTCCCATGGAGCAACTAAATGTCATTTCCTCCTGTCTTGTTGCTCGCTACCTGACAGGTAGCAACCCCCACCTGGCTACAACCTCCTTTAAGGGAGTTTTAGAGAGGAAAGATCTTCCCCAAGTCTCCTTTTCTCCAGGCTAAAAACCCTCAGCTGTTCCTCATCAGACTTGTGCACCAAGATATATTTATATGCCAGATATATCTATGAGGATACAGATAAATAAATGAGGATACAGATAAAAATATACCAAACTGTGTATATCAAATAAAAATATATACCATGATATCTCAAAAGTATACAGAGATTTGATATAATTATAGAGATATTTCTGTATCTGCAGAGATACATCTATCTATAGAAAACCAGATTATAGATATCTCTTGATTTGCCTTATATAGTTTCTGTATGGTTATAGAAATGTTGATATAGAAGCTATTTAGTTTCTATACAGTGTCCTGTATAGTTTCTCTAACTCTCTATACAAAACACATCCTAGATATGTATCTCTCCACATAAGAGAGATGTAAGAGATGTAAAGAGGTAGATATATCCTAGATATAGGAACTCAGACTGGAGGCTCCAGTTAGAAATGGGGTAAAATGCAGAATTTGGTGTGTAAGTGAGCAGATATGATCTCAAACATACAGATTCATATATGCAGGATACAGTGATATTTCCAAGATACATCCAGTAGAGACACAGACTGCATCTCTATCTAGAGACATCTGCATCTGGAGGATCTGTATCTAGAGAGCCATGGGATTATCCACCCATATCCCTGAGGATCTAAGAGCCTCCTCTCTCTCTAGGATATACATTATACAGACAGAGCTATATTAAGAGGTCCTACACACAGACGACCACCCCAGGAGACACAAGGCATTTCCAAACCCTTCCCTAAATAATAAGCAGAGCCTCACTTCCCAGCTGGAGCTGAACTCCCTGGCAGGGCTATCACATCTGACATCATCTTCAATTACCTATCAGCCAAGATACAGCCCAGGCAGCTGCGTGCTCTGCCTTTCCCAGCTTGCTGCCTGCTCCTTTCATCCCCCCCAGCTGCACCAACCAGCTGCTGGAAGAGCTCACAGCACCCCCCAGGATAAGATAACGCCGGGGGGAATGGGAACCACGTGCATCTTCCTCGTGGGATCAGGAGCTCTCATCCCTGGATGCTTCAGAGCCTGAGCAACAGGCAGGGAGGCAGCTGCCGACTCAGCCAGTGAGTCACAGTTTCGGCTGCGTGGGCAGCACGGCTCTTTTTAAAGCACCAGCCTCAGCTCAGCTCAGCTGGGCTTCCAGCTCTGCTCCTGCCTCAGTGTGATGCTGTACTGGGCTGCCAGGGTGTTTAACAGCCCCAGGGGATGAGATTTTTATGGGTGGTGTTGGGGCAGCCTCTTGGTGCCCATCCTGCTGCCCACCTACCATGACAGTGATGCCGTCCTTCTCCAGGGGGGTCTTGTCATAGGTCACTTCACACACTCGCACGACCGTGGTGGCACCGTACTTCTTCAGGTCCTGGGGAGGGAAGGAGAAGGAGGGGTCTGAACAGACCCTGCCAAATGCACCCCACTTAACCCTGACACATCCAAGCCCTGCTATGACCATGTGGAGCAGTGTGGACCCTTAAACGGTGCTGTGGCCCTTCTCTGAACCCTTGACTCATGGTCCATCCCTGGCAGGCACAAGGAAACATGAAATCCCAGGACAATGAAGCCACGTGGCCTTGTAGGATTTTTAAGCAGCATCTTCATGACTCCTCAGAGTCACGAGTACCAATGGGGCCATTTATTTTTAAGCCCTGACAGCCTCATCAGCAGGGATTTTATACCTCAGGCAAAGAAACATCCCTGACATGGGTGCCAGTCCTCTGAAGGAGAAATTGTTTGTGCCTGCTGAGGTCACACTCCTGGTGCAGAAATGCATGGAGGCAGCAGTGTGGGAGTCGTAGCATGCCCCGCCAGCCAAGCTCAGCATCTCACAGATGGCTCAGGGGCTCCTTCTCCACCTCGCTGCTGTATCCCATCATCGCTCCAACCCGCTGCAGGCTCAGGCGTGGGCCTTGGGATGCTTCCAGCATGGCTCAGTGCCCGGCGCGAGGATTGCCCCCGGATTACGCGCCCGGTGCGCCGGCCTCGCCGGGAACCATGAGATCATCCCCAGTGATCCACCTCCTTTGTTCCCCACGGCCGCTCACCAGACCGTGGTGAGCCCCACATGCTCAGCAGCCTGGCCAAAAGTCTAAGAGACTGGAGAAAAGGGGAATTTTTCTCCCTTCCCACTAGTGTGGTCCCCATCGCCCTCTGCAGCGAGTATGGGGTGACTGTCCCCAAATCACAGCCACCTTCACAGCCACCCTGAGGAGTGGCACTCACACAGCTGCTGGCTCTTCAACAACAAGCTCTCCAGCACTACCCAACACACTCTAGGCACTGGAAATACCCTGGGATATTTGGGATCAAAAGCCATTATTGAGGTGCTGGGAGGGACAGAGCAGGTTGTGTGCACCCATGTGCATCACTCCAAAACCCTGTGACATGATGTGCTAGTGGATCTGGAAAGGGATGCAACAGGAATGGGGAAACTCTGCTCCATCTCTACTGTGCCCAAACATCACACTTGGGGTGCTGAAAATCATCCCATTCCAAAAAGCTGGCAATGATTGGATCCACTGCCCCAGGATGCCACCAGGGGCTGTGGTACCAAGGGGGATGTGCTGCCCTCTCATCAACATCGGCTTTTAGCCCCAAAATATGCAATTGGACCCTGGTCCACACCTTCCAATCTCTCCTTCTTACCTCCAAAAAGGTGCTGAGCGTGGCATTGGTGGGGTTGTGGGTGATGAGGAACCTCATGTTTTTGTAGCAGACCTCCACAGGTGCAGGGCGGTTCATCCGGGCCATGGTGGGGACAGTGGGAAGGTGAGGTGGTGCTGACAGTGGCAGGGGACAAACCCAAGAAAAGAGTGGTGTGGAGGGGCAAAAAAAACCAAAACCAAACAAAAACCCAACGACCCCTCTGTGCTTCAAAAATAAAAATAAAAGAGGATCGAGAACTCAATATACAGACGTTGTGCAAATAATCCCAACTCCTGGGAGCGCACCAGCTTCCTTGACACACCACAAGCCTCCCAGGGGGAAAAAAAAAAAGCCAGATGGGGGGAAAAAAATAATATTAATGAAATAATAATAATAATAATTAAAAAAAAATCCCTTTGCTGTAGTGTTGGCGTCCTCTGTGTGTGTGTGTGACGGCAAGCGGCTGCTGCCTCCGGTGCCGCGCGCTCCCGGGCGCTCTAGAAAGGCCTCTGCATATGGGGGTGCTTGGTGGTGGCGGGAGGTGGCCCCCGTCACGTTACCCCATCGGGGTATGTGGAGTACTTGGGGGCGGCACGGGGGGCCGGGAGCCTACGGGGCGGCGTCGGCGGCGTCGGGCAGCGGTGCCTCGCTGGGGCGATCCATGCACGGGAGCCTTGAATGGTTGAGTCGGAGGGTCGGGGTGCTGGGCGGGACGAGGAGAGGCGGCCGGGGGCTGCTGCTTCACAGGGCGGGCTGCCGGCGGTTGTGGGGCTCACAGCTGCTCCTCAGCACCTCCATAAATCCCAGTGCAGAGCGAGGCTACGGGGGAGAGAAAGGGAAATGCTGTGGTGAGAGTGTGCTCCTCCCCAAGGAAGCCCCTGGCTGGTGTGGGCGCCCCTCACTTTCTACATCCCCTGTGAGCATCCCTGACCATTCTCATCTTAACAGGAGATCACAAATTAGAAAGTGAGGTGGTATTTAAAGCTAAAGCTGAAATATCGTCTGGAGAGCTGAAATGGCACTGGAAAGCCAGAAGGGGCAACTCACATTTCACCTGCAGAACAGAAAGCACATGGCAGGGAAGGCCTTGCTCCCATATACCACCCAACACCTGCACCTGCTGGTGGAATTAAGCACCCAATTCATGCCAGCTGACCCCCCTGACACCCATCCAGACCCCCCCAGACCTCACCTTTGTGTCCCCAAAAAGCACGTTGAGTATCTCCACCCCAAATGCACGCTGTGCCCGAAACCAGCTGCCGCTGCTGCTAATCGGCCACATGCTCCTGGCGCTGGGCTCATGTCCACTAAATGCACCTCTAATGCTCTTAGGAGAATTAAGCTGCCTGCAAATGAGCTATCTTGGGGAGGGGGGGGGCAAGGAGGGGGTTGTGTGTGTGTGGTTTTGCCAGGGTTGGTGATGGATGTGTCTCCCTGCCTGCTCATCCACATTCCCACACCGCCGGCACATCGCTCCCAGTAACGGAGCCCGGCCCCTCCACCCGTGGCATCTTTGCTTTCAAGGATGGCAGTGGGAAGAATTAAGAAAGAAAATCAACTCCCACTGTGTAAATACTCAAATCCATGAGATGATGGGCCCAGCAGGGAGGCAAGGGCTCTGCCAGCCCCACTCAGAGCTTAGGGAAACCCAGCCAGAGCCTCCCCAGGTTGTTCCCCACTGGACTCTTGTTTTGAAGCTGGTCCTTCCCCAGGTCAGTGGCTGCTTAGTGCTGGGTGGCCAGAGCCTCAAAATAGACCATAAGCACATAAGTAACCCGAGCCAGGCCAGCAGGCACCCCTTTAGCTCTCCTCATAGCAGCCAGAAACTTTCCCCTCTGGATTGTTTAACCCTTATGCAATGAGACAAGGTGGGAGCAGGGAGATGAGCTGAGCCCTGACCAGCTCATAACAGCACCTGGGTGCTGACAATGGGTTTGTCCAGGCCTGAGCATCATTTACAATGTGTTTAACACCTCCTGCTTCTCCAGTGGTACCCAGGAATGAAGAAGTTAAATAGCAACAGGAAAAAAGCCAGGTGAGGTGTCAGGGGAAGCAGAACTGCTCTGCTGAATGTGCCCAGTTTGGCTGCTAAAATCACAGACTCTTCCCAACAACCATTTTCTATCACACTTGACTTCACACTTTTTTGCCCATAAAGAAGGGGATAATGCTATCCCAGACTCCTGCAAGGATGTTCTGCAAAGTTCAAACCCTGCCTGGGCTGCAGGGCATGAGTGGGACATTCAGGGAGGATGACTTTCCAGTCCCCATTGAGAAATCAGAGTTTAGCAGCTGATGGAGGCTGGGACCTTGGCTGAGGCATGGGAGTGAGGTGAGGGCTGCCTCTCTGCAGCATTTTAGGTGTGATTCAGAGCAGCTCAGCCCACAGATGATGCTGAACCCCCCAGGGTAGCTGATCCTCCCCACCTGGACCACAGCAGGTAGAATTTTTGCTCAAAGCTTGCAATCATCCTGCAAGATGGGCTGGGAAACCTGCTTCCCCCAGTGTTCACCGTGCTTTTTCAGTGATGAACCCACCTATAACTTTGTCTGTGGGGTCTGCTTCTTCCCAAGACGATCTCACCATGGCTGGGTAAGAACCAATTTGTTATTTCTGGAGGGTAATTCTGGGCTGGTTTTGGCTGTGTGGCTCCTACATGTCCAGCTGCCAATCTGCTGGCCAGCACAACCACAAAAAGGGATGGGAGGTGGGAGAGATGGGCAGCCACAGTTGCCTGCTGTGGGGCAAGGGAAGAGCTGATGCAAAGTAGGAATTGCCTCACACCATCAGCTTGAAAGCCCAGTGAAACAAAAGAATTGAGGATATTTTGCTTTTACTTTTCATGCCTTTGCTCTTCAGGCTTCCAGTGTGTTTAATGCCATCTGTCCTAATGATTTGATCTGATCCTGATGATCAATCTGATTTGACATACCAGCACCAAAGGTGCACAAGGGAAAGCATCAAAAAAGTGACTTTTCTCCCTCCAAAAAAACTCATACCTCGTTTTAACCAGCTGCCAGGGACATCAATACAAACTGTGCCCATGTTTACCCATGTCCTGGATTAAATCCCACCTGCTGAGCAGCCCTGTGGGGCTGGGAGCTGCTGCCAGCACCAATGCCAGCGCTGCCCCCTGTCATCATCCAGCACACAGTTCATGCTCCATTGGTGCTCTGGATCCTGGACAATTTTTTATTGGCTTGGGCGTGCTCGCTGCCAGTAAGGGAGGCTCAGTGGGAACCGCCTGCCTACGAGAACAGCGAGTGCTCCTTTCCCACAAGGTCTCCTCTCTCCAGTGGAAGCGTTTCAAGTATTTTGGCAATCACACATCCCAGCAATTCAGTCCCAAAGCCCATAAATCCCTAATGGGTATTCAATCACAAATCATCCCCGGCGGTTCAGCCTGCGATGCTGATCTCCATATTAAGCGTGGCAGAACAATGTGGAGAAGGGAATTTCAGCTAATATTAATAACCTGCCAAGTGGAATATAAATCCTTCTCATTTGAGCGCTCCGGGGGATGTAGAGGAAGCATGTGAGGACACAGTGAACAAGCCCTGGATGAGGATGCTCAGCAATGCAGTGCTGGCCTGTCAGGCTCAAACCCGTCTTGGGGAACCTCGATGAAAGGAGGCTGTAGCCAGGTGGGGGTTGGTCTCTTCTTCCACATAACAAAGGACAGGACAAGATGAAACAGCCTCAAGCTGTGCCAGGGGAGGTTTAGATTGGGTATAAGGAAAAATTTCTTCACTAGAAGGGTGCTCAGACATTGGAGAAGGCTGCCCAGGGAAGTGGTGGAATCAGTATCCCTGAAACTGTTCAAAGATGGAAGTGCTCACAGATGTGGCATGTGGTTTAGTGGTGGACCTGGCAGTGTTAACAACTGATCTCAGAGATCTTTTCCAACTTTAATGATTCTATGATTTTCTTTTCACCATGACTGTGGAAATTTCTGCTTCTTACACAAGAATTTGCAGCCAAGAGCCCACTGAAGATCCAGTATGAACACACACCAGTGTGTCAAGACAGCAGTGAAGGCTGCTGCTCTTAGGGAAAGGGACCACTGAGCCATCATCTCCTTGTCTTATACACCCTCACAGCTGAGGGGATCACAGGGCTCTCTGAAATATTTGCAGTGGGGCAAGGCCATTACATATGTCTTGGCCTCATCCCAGATGTCCAGGGACTGAACCTGCAACAGAGGAATGAGGCTGATCTTCCTCAGGGCAACTTGATGGAAAATAAAGGTCAGATCTTCTTCACCCAGTGACTGGAAGAGCTCGGTTGGAGTGTGAGCAGCTGCCTGACCTGATGGCTGTGCTGCTGGTACCCGGCTAGCAGGACACAGATGGTGGAGTCAGGTTTTCCTAAACACAGCCCATCCCCAAGAGAAGGAAAAGGAAGCTCTGCAGAGCCAAAGTGTCCGCTCCGCATGAGCTTTAGCAGCGGGACTCGGAACAAAGGCTCTCACTCACCCAAACAATGTGTATCTCACCCGTACATAAATACAGCGAGCTCGGAGTGAGCACATCTCCTGTTCAAAGTTCATCTTCAGAGAAATCCAACAAAACATCCAGCTGTATCACACTTTCTTGACCTCTCTCCTGCTTTCAGCTCATGTACCAAGACACTGACCAGCCCTTTCCCCTTAAGGCTGATGAAGCCCTGCTCTCCCTGCTCCCAACAAGCACTTCCATCACCCTGAGAACTGAATCCAAGTTTCTGAGTATTTCCAATTATCACCATGCAGAAGTTTCTGCACACATGCATTGCCACTGACATGAGTGACCACGGGGAGCAGGCCTGTGAGGCTCAGCTGCACACATAAAATTTGTACCAGCAGCGCCACCACTGTCACCATTGCCACCAGTGTCACCACTGCCACCACCACCACTGCAACCAGAATCAGCAGCACCACCACTGTCTCCATTGCCACCACAACCACCACAATCACCACTGCCATGAGCACCACCACTGCCAGCAGTGTCACCACTGCTATCAGTGGGAGGAGCACCACTGCCATCACTAGCACTGCCACCAGCATCAGCAGCAGCACTGCCACCATTCCAAGCATTGCCACCAGTGTCACTGCTGCCACCACTATGAGCAACACTACCACTGCCACACTGGGTTCCACCAGCATGAGCAGCATCACCACTGCCACCATCACCATCACCGCCAGGGAGAACAGATCCCAGGACACAGAGAGCCACAGTGCTGTCCCCAGCCTGACTGCAGCTGGGACACAGCCAATGTGCTGAGATTTCCTCCAGTTGCATCCGCACGGAAGGAAACAGGAAAGGTCCGGGAGGAGAGCGACGGAAACAAAACACCCAGCAGGAGCCGGCATCTGTGGGGAGAGGTGCAAGCAGCACCAGCACATCCTGCTCCAGGGGCAGAGCTGGACAGAGCAGATGGGATGTCCTGGAAAAGCCATGCTGGGTACCGTGCTGGCTGTGGGGTACCTGCTGCCAGGAGTGAAGCAGTGCCTGGCAACATCTGCCAGGGAAGCATTGAGGGGTTTTTCCTCCAAGGGGTTAATTTTTAGGTTGTTTTTCTTGCTGCACGTGATGTTTTCTGAGCAAAACACAACAAGGAGGATTAAAAATGCACAGGTGTTGAGGCAGAGTGATGGGGGGGCTCTTGGCAGCCCATGAAAACACACCTGCAAGATAAACCAAGTCATGCATCTTTCCCCACATCCTTTTTGGTGTGCAGTAAATACTGGCTAACACAAAATTTTGCCAAAGAGAGCTGTGCAGCCCTTGATTTTACAGCTCC